GAATGATAAACTAAAACTATTTCAAGAAGATGAATCAATAATATTGAGAATTTTGAAAGTGAAATAATTGATTTGAAGAAAATTATCGTTTAATAGGCAATATAAAACGGATGGTCAGGAAATTTTGAGACAAAATGTTGATTTAATTTTTGTTCATTTGAGTGTGTTTTCGATGAGTCAAAAGCTATAGGTGGTGATGACCAGAATTTTGTACAGTTTCCGAATGTGATCTTAGAAAATTTGTCTCAGTTTTTCTTCAAGACTAATGTGGTAATGATTAAAAAGGTCCAAAAAATAAGTTGACGGAAAATTTTTTTCTTATACTTTTGTAGTTGTACTATTGCAGCTCGATAATAATCTATCAGCTTGTAGAGCAAAGCTACATTACAAAATGTACTATTTTAGTATATTAGTCATTCGATAGAGACATTTCAACTTGTGTTTTTTCTTGACAAAGTGCTTAAAGCTTCATTTAAGTAAAAGCTACAGGTTAACTCAACATAATATTTTTTGAAGAGATGTCCGATGGAGTAAATGATCGACTTCAATCATTTTTAGCACCTTCAAAAAGTGACTTATAGAAGTTAACAAAAATCTGTTAGTTCATCATTCAATCTGATTTTTAAACCTTTCAAAAATTCTCTCATCACTCTCGAACATTCGATATTCAAAGAGAGCAAAAAATTCAGATTATCACTCACATGGTTGATTCTTGTGTTCTATCATATCAACTTCATTTGAATCTATTTTTTTTTCTCGGCTGAAAATATTTAGTACGATTGATCTCAAATTATGAATATATGGAATGAATTTTGTCAATTATAATCTCATATTTTTATTGAAGCATTAAGAAAATGATTAGAGATTTCTAATATTCGTACACTACGGATAATCTATCATTCTTGAAATTCTGATTGTTGTTAAAAAGAAACTAGAACTATCAAATGTCTTATCAAAATCTTTTTATTAAAGCTATGTCTTGTTTATTCTATTTGATACATACAACATTATGAAATATATTTAATAAACTTTTATTAAATTACAAGTTAACAAAGAACAACAGATCATGTATTGTTCTTCGTACTCTACGAATAAGATATTTAGTGAAATTTAAATTGCACAAAATACTCTAATAAAAATCGCTATGATACCAAATATAAAAGTAAATTTCGAGAAATTGAAACACTATCAAAACTATTTTAAATTACTGTAAAGATTTACAACTGATGTATTATTTTTCACTGTTTATAGGTAATTATGTTCGAGATCAAGCGGTCTTCAAAAGATATTTTCAATAGTTCTGTTTTTCTAACAACATAGAAGAATAGAAGATCATCCGTAGTGTACGAACACTATCTCTACTAAAAACAATTTTCTATTATAAAATTAACTTCCTATATAAAAAAAAGTTTGGATTGGGACACGTCTATTCAGGTTTGTCACTTTCATAAATATCTAACAAATTAATAACAGAACACAAAGCGAGTATCTTTCATTCGACAAAAATAAATTTACCTTGATCAATTAAAGCTCCAACTACTTTCGTATTATAATAATCCGGTAAAAGTCTTTCGCATAATGCTGCTAATGTCCAAAATGCATCTTCTTCATTCATATAAAGCAAAAGTACGCCACCAAGTATATTCATAGCTTGACAATAACCTATATAAAAAATTTTCAATTAAATAAGAAAAAAAAAATCACGAAATAATAAAAAGAAAAAGAAAACTTTTTTTCCTAACCAACATCCGTATTATAACAAGCATATACTCTTAATAAACGTCTTAATGCATTAATGCCTGAGTCTTGTTGATATGCTTCTTGATCTGGTAATGCACGATATAGATCACGTTCAATTTCTTCATTTATTGTATCATGATCATTTTTAACATTTGATGATTCATAAACATATTTTCTATAAATATTCAAATTTACTTCTTTCTATTTAAACAAAAACAAAAAACAATGTTCAAGCATTTTTAAATAAAATTATTCATTAAATTTAACTAACATCATATATAGCACCACTAAATAAAAGCCATAATTCATTTCGTAATGAATTTGGTATTCCTTGAAATAATAATTCATATAATTCATTTGTTCTATACATAGCTGAACCTCTTCCATAGATAGCAAAATGTGTATGCCATGCAGCTATTCGTATATTTTCATATGCTTGTTGTTCTTCCGTAAAATTATTATTAAATTGTAAATAAAGTGGAGGTGATATAGCTAGAAGAAAAAACATTTTTTGTTTTTTAAAATTCAAAAATAAAAATGAATAAACTAACTTATTGCTGGAAGATCAATAATTGATATGATTTTTTCATTATATTCTAATAATAAACTCGATAATTTACTAAGAATAAATGATCGATCAGTAAAATTTGATAAAACAAATGGACCAC